CGAGAAACTGTGCACATCGCTAAGAGACGTGGAAGGGGATATAGCAGATTTGTCGCAGTTGACCGGTCGACCCAATCAATACCTCTGTCAGTACTTAAAGTTCTAGGGAAAGGTGTACGTCATGCGTTCAGCTTTACGATTTAATTACGTCTCGATACTTAATTTGTTTATTTATTAACGAGTCGTTGTAATTTTCCCTATAGCTTGAATTTTTTTAAGTGCAAGCTAGAAACACTTGCACTTTTGGTAAAAATAAGTGGAATTGAGTGGGTGTTCGATAGTGGTCGCGCTATTAGAACTCTGAATTCAAAAATCGATATCTCGAAATCTATTAGAAATAATAGATTGTAGTTTTTTCAAGCACTTTGTTAATATTTCTGCTGTATTTTCTTTGTAGACAGTATATGGAAATCTTTATCAATAAGAAAATTACACGATTGCTGAAAATTGCTACGCTCTAAAAGTAAATGGATGGATTGTTTACAATTTTTGAATGGAAAAAACAACCTTATCGAATTTTTCTTATGTAAACATATTGTTTAATATCCGATCTTGAAAGTAAAAAAAAAGTTTCAATATCTAACGTGGTTCTTGAGTTATGGCCTGTTATGTGTTAAAAAGTTGAGTTCTTAAATTATCGCGATTACTGACGTTTTCTCCTTAAAAAAAATTTGACACCCTAACGATATCCTTATAATTCCATTTCAGATGCTCAGACACATATCTAATGATTTTATCTAGTTATCTCTTGAAAAAAAAGTCTTTTAAAAATAAGCGGTTTGCGATCGTGATTTTACTTTACTTGATAGGAAAAGGCGTATCGGCAACGCCGCAACAGCACACCATCGCGCGTCGCGTCGGTCGGTCGCATTTCTCTCACTTCGACTTAGTAACATCCCTATGCGATTTACTTCCACTCATGTAAATGCCGACCCAAAAGTAACAGTTCCCAGCACGGTATAGACTAAATTAAAATTTAATTTAATTTAACATACTATAAACAACATCAGGGATGGTTCTCCAATAATTAAATAGGTGGCTGAAATAACTGCCTAGTTATTTCCTCCACTTTTTTACGAAAATTGCATTTTTATTGAATTGCCCTTAAAAAAATCCAACCGTTTCCTCCTACAATCAGATATCTCCATAGACTTATAAGTCTATGGATATATCTATTTAACTGTACTTAAATGGAAACGTCACATTTAGATTAGCAGTACTGTGAGTCTTTTGACTGTCGATTGACTGTTTAGATCCCCAGAATAGTGAACATTATCAACATAATTATCATATACCGGGTGGTCCGAACTGTATTCCGGAAACTTTGCCAGCATATTCTGCAGATAAAAATAAGTCAAAAAGTTCGTATAAATGTATGTCCTTAAATGCTTAGTTTCGGAGATACAGGGTGTAGAAGTTTTATTTTTATTTCGATTTTTTTTCAAATAATTTATGAAGTAATATCAATATTTAGATGAAAATTGGTGCCTGGGAGTTTTTTGACATGAGAAATTTGATTTTGATGTCAATACGATTCCTACGGGTAGAGGGCGCCACCTACACATTTTTAACTGGTTTGAAGAGTAATAACTTTTCTTCCGTACCTACATAAAACTACTGAGTAAAAATATATACATTTACGACGTTTCTTACGTAAAAAAAGGTCTTTTAATAACTATCTACTCAATATATTCATTTTTTGTCAATAATGACCTGTATTGGTTATTTCCATTCTAAAATATTTTAAGAACGGTTGCTCGTAGCGATTTTTACCAAGAGACATTTTTACGTAAAAATCACGGAACTGTATATTTTTTCAACCAGTAGTTTTATACAGGTACGGACGAGAGAGAGAGAAAAGTTATTGCTTTTCAAAACAGTTAAAACACAATAGGAGTCATATTGACATCAAAATCAAATTTCTCATCTAAAAAAACTTCAAGACACCAATTTTCATCTAAATATTGATGTTATTTTAGAAATTATTTGGAAAAATTCGACATAAAAATGAAACTTCTACGCCCTGTATCTCCGAAAGTAAGCATTTTAGGACATTTATTTATACGAACTTTTATACTTATTTTTATCTGCAGTATATCCGCCGAAGTTTCCGAAATACAGTTCGGACCACCCTGTATATGGGCCACTGCAGGATGATACCAAACCTGCAAAAGATGTGACTGCTATGCTGGGAGCAGGGGACGAGGACGAGGTGTTTGTCAAAACCATGCTATACTTATCAGACCTTGATGACATATCACCCTGGGACATAACAGCCTGTGTTAAAAGGTTGGGATTTGAGGATGAATTTTAATTAATATTTGTAATTAAATATTTTTTCTTTTAAAACAGTTTGTAGAACTGTGAAAGTTTGTGAACCACAAAATTCCCTTGGAACCCACTTTTAGTAAATACCAAAGACATTATAAAGATAGACCGAACATCGCATTCATAAATACTCGTTGGTAGTGTATCAAACATTTCAATGTGTCGAACAAGGACAGAAGAGACAAGGAAGTCTAAAATTTCCGACCCCGGCAACTAGGCGCATTTGGATTGTTCTAATGGCCAGTGGCGTATCGTTTTTTGGAACGAATTTAAGTAGTAAAGTAAAAGTAAAGTAATTAGTAAAATTTTTACTCCATATTAATATACTACATTAACACTTTTCGTTAGATGAGCTTTGTTATAAGGTCGAATATAATAATATAATTAATATCCCACATATACTTATGTTGAAACGTTAGTAGGTAGTTTTCGAAAATCGCTCCAACGTCGATATTCAATTTAAACTGTTAGTTACTTCTATATAAACTTTCAGTTACTTTTGAATATTTACAGGGTGACTCAGGCTTCCGAAACAGTTCTATATTAGGTTTGTGATTGGTGACTTTTCTTTCAATTTTTTTTAGAATATGGATGCAATGGTAAAGCACATTTTAGACATTTTTGTAAACATAGGTGGCCAGAACATATTTTCAAACTAAAGTTGTAGATTTGCCATTAAATTTCCATTCCAGAAATACCTAGGGTTGCCACCTATCCTTTTTTGAAAAGGACAGTCCTTTTTTGGAATAACTTGTCCTTTTGACTTTTTTTGACTTAAAAAGTCATTTTTATTTACGTATTTTCCCTGAGAAAATTACCTGCAGCAAACAGAAATATTCTTTTCGTCCAAATTTAATTAGAGATGTTATAAAACTTATAAATAATTTTTTCTTGTTTAGAATAGGCAACATTATTTAGAACTTCCCGTTTAATCTGAAATGATAGTTTAGGTTTTAGTTTTACCCTTTTTGATCTTAAAAAGAACTTTTCAAAATTAGTAATTAGTTACGATTTAGTTAGTTCGCATTCGATAGCTTCCTGTGAAGTACTGTGTAATAGTTGTTTAATCTTGTATTATTAATAACTTCCTATACCTAAAATCAATATTTATTTTAATGAGAAAATTGTGTTTTTTTGAAAATATAAGACAAGATTTGACTTTCGGTCTTCTCGTATTATGATGACTCTGATACGAGGCAATTACCTTTTAGTCTCTCAATAGAAGGCATTTATCATTAAAAGTATCAAATCTGTGTGCTACAGTATGGGATTTCTATCGCATAATAATGAATATTACGTTTATTTACAAATCCATTACTTAGGTAGCTTCATCAGACAATCAAATTTTAGTTAAATGTCCCAATCTTCATGAACTGTATTAAGCATATGTATTGCGGTTTGAATCACCCTGTATGTTGACAAAAATATTTTGAAAATGTGCTTTACAATGGCCCCGATCTTATGTAAAAAATTGAAATAAAAATCACAAACCAAAAACGTAATAGGTAAAAAGCTTTTTTGGAGGCCTGGGTCACTCTGTATATAGGTATGTATAAAACTAGTAGCCTAAGATTTATTTACAGTTGTAAATATTCGTATTATATACGTACAATCGTATATAATAACCAAAATATGACGCAATTTAAAAAAAATATCACTTTTTCTCGCTTATAATAAAGTTTCAAATGCAACGTTTATATTCAAATTTGTTATGATCTACAACAGTTAGGTAGTAATTGAGACGAATTATAATTCAATTACCGGCTACTACGTTCTTGTTTTAATAGATCAAAATTCAACAAATATAATTAGAAATTATTTTAATTGTGAGAGGCTCCCTCGTGGGACGCCTATGTACGATTACGGCGGAAACAATACCTACATGTGAAAAGACAAATTCGGGTAATTTGAGCTTATTTTTCCACACATTTGACACTGTCCTACCATATTGAAAATTCGCAGATTCAAAAGTACGTTAAACAAAAACAAAAACTACTGAAAAACACTGAAAAATTCACTTCGGACTTGATTCCGACTTCAAACACACCGTAGCTAAACGTAGTACGCTGTAACGGATCAAAGGCCGTCGCGAGGGGTGGTGGGACGGACGGCTCATTTCATTCTGGAAGACTAGCAGCGACGTTGCCAATAGTTCTAGACATTTCAGCACATTAATCAGTAAATATGTCCTTTAATAGTAATGCATATATCCTCTGGTTAATAACATATTATTACGCATGCTTCTTTAAAAATAAACTATAAATTTAATTAAGAAATTGAGATTTATTGATATCCGGTGAAGGTTTTAAAGTCACCTTTTCTGCAAATCAAACTAAGTAGATAGGCGCAAATTTGAGATGTGGCAATGTCGCCTTCTCTATCTCAGTTGGTTTTTACAGTACGTAGTCAACTTCCGATTGTTTGATCGGGTTAAAATGCACAATGTGATATCTGTTCTTACTAAATCTATGGTAAATACAATACGATAGTTGCATTTTATCCACTTAACTTAAGAAACTACGTCGTCGCGTTTAAATATTCTGGCCTGGATAAAATGCTTCTTAAAACACTTATAAAGTAACTATCAAATTCAACTATACACAAATATGACATAACAAAAACACAAATCAAAAACTAAAAGGTAGCAGTCGTATGAAACCGTAAGATCTTACCTGACGCACCTGTTTGAATTGCTCCTCGAACGACCAAGTGTGCTGCGAGGAGGCGCTGCCCTCCGACGAATGCGAGCTGCCCGAAGAGGGAGCCTGAGGCTGGGGGGCAGCCATGGGGGGCAGGAACGTAGCGGCCGGGTGGGGAAAGGGGAAGGGCACAGGGAAAGGGATGCCGTCCTGGGCGCGATTGTTTAACGAGGGGAAGTTGAGCTGGTTCCTTTGGTTCTCGAAGTCGTCCTGGAAAGAAGAGAGAAGGAGGGTTTATTTTGATATAAATCAGTTGAAATTAGAGGGTTGGTTAATTTTGGTGAATATTAAGTTAATTCTACAGGGTGATTCATCAGGAAATATCAATACTTAGGTAAGTATTCAGGACCCAAAAATGAACAAAATAATATTTATATAAGTATTTGTCCGCAAGGCTTTTCCTTTTTGAGATAGAAAATGTTAAATCTTTATTCTAAAAATTAATAAAAAAATGAATTAACCCTTCAATCTAAACCTTTTGTAGCCAAGATGCGTTTAAATTTATTATTTTCAATAAATAACTGCCTACTACCTCGAAAACAGTTGCTCATATCAACTTTTAACAGGTTTAACAGGCATCTGTATTACTCAGAAATGTAATTCAGAGCAACACCAAAAAGTTGTAATTTTTCGAAAGAGTAGAAAAATCTGTAAGTGGCGCCTCCTACAGGTTAGAGCTATACTAAGATGAGATTCGAATTCGTTATTTTCACTCCAATATTTACATTATCACAGATTTTATTAAAAAAAATACACACTCATTGATATAGATTTTTATGTATATTTTTAGGTCCTGAAGTATATTTCCTCATGAATCGCCCTGTAGATCAACTAATAGGGTTACTAATTCTAATTACCAAGGCAGCGTAGGAAATATGAGATATAAACAAAAGTCAAATGATAATATTCTTTGAATACAAATATTAAGGAAGGATTATAAGTGCTATCCATATTCATACACTCAACACTCATGCATTAGAGACGCGGAATGGACATTATGAACCCCCATTTTTGACAGTTCTGACGTTTCAATTGACAAATTTGAATTAGATTTGAAATTTTGCGGATTTGTTGTGCTTTTCTGAGCTTATGTTATATTATTTGTTATTTATTCATTCAATTTTTTTGATATGCTCACCCGTTAACATTTGTATTCAAAGTATGTATTACATATTCTAAGCAGGGGCGGATCGTGAATTTGTGGGGTCCTGGGCTGAAACTACTTAGAGACCTACATAAGCACTCAACTAATAGACATATCAAAAAACTGTTTCTATAATGATATATTATTATTCTTCTTCTTTACGTGCCGTCTCTTTCGTGGAGGTTAGCGATCACATTGGCAAAATCTTCACGATTCTCGGCTTTCCTTATAAGTTCTTCAAAAGTTAGGTGAGTCCAGTTTCTGATGTTTCTCAACCAAGATAGTTTCTTCCTGCCGAGACCTCTCTTTCCTTCAATCTTACCCTTAACTATCAATTGTAAGACGTGGTATTTTTCATTTCTCAATATATGCCCTAAGTATGATGTTTTTCTTATTTTTATTATATTGAGCAATTCTCTTTCTCTGCCTATTCTGCTGTAGACTTCGGTATTTGTGATATGTGGATTTAAGTAACATAAATGTTACTTAAATCTACGCAAGTATTAGTTGTACAAAAGGCGACCTTATTGCTGTGGTAGCAATCTCTTCCAGGCAAACTTTGGGTGAGAGAGAAACCGAAATAGTGATATTTTATAAGAATATAAAAAAAACAATAAAACAATTTTATTTATTTACTTATTATGAATTAGTAAAATAAATTGATAGGTTGTAGTCACAGAAATTGACAGTTATTTGGTCATCACATTCCAAGTCTTTTGTGAGATCACAATTTATGGAAAGAAGTGATAAATTATTTAGTCGATGGTTCGACATTGTTGTCCTATATTTATTTTCTACATAGGACATCTTGGAGAAGGAGCGTTCTGCTTCACAGCTAGTGATTGGCAATGTTAAAAAAATCTTTAAAATGGTATAGCAGTTAGGGAACACGTTAATAAGTTTATTTTCATACATGAGCATAAAAATGTCACTGCAAGAGGTGTAAGACTCAGACATAGATTGGAGTAAGTACGATTTTAATTGAATGCACTCATTCAAAATGTTACGTGCAATTTCCAAATCTATGTTTTCGATATTTTTGTCTTGCAAATCCATTAAAAATTTGAATTTTTTGCTATATGTCTCATAGACTTGTCTCCTTTTATTTAAATCCATAATCAGCTTATTCAACGCAACTTTTAACGTGTCTCTTTAAATCTTTCTGCTCCGTATACTGAGAATTCACCTGTAGACTTATCTGAAAATTTTGGGATAATGCGTCTCTTGTTTATGTAATTGTAGTCTATTATTACACTAGTACTTAATTTTTTAGCTTTTTCGTCGTATTCCTGTAACATTTGATCTGATTGATGTCGTATGTTGCTCACAAAGTCTTTTAAAGAAACAATTAACTTGTTGCCTTCACAAATGTCTAAACCAGGGCTCTGTATTTTTTTATTAACTAAATGAAATCTCTCCAAAACTTCTTCCCAAAAGATAATCAAAATTGCAGTCCCGAGTTTCGCCATTTTATTGAATAAATTTCGTGCCTCTTTCCGGAAATCAACTTTCTCAACCTCATTTTCGCTGAAACATTTGAAAATGTTCATAATGTCATCATAATTATTTTTTAAGGCTTTGACAGCATCATAGTGGCAAGGCCATCTTGTCTGGCTTAAACTTTTAACCTGAATTTTAATTTTATTTCACGATTCAACAGTTCCCACTTATGGGTCTATTGTTTTTCGCGGGGCCTGGGGGCCCCTTGTAACCTCGGGGCCCTGGTCTGCAGCCCAAACAGCCCGTAGGTAGATCCGGCCCTGATTCTAAGAACCCATTGGTATAGGAACTTCATTAATATACAGTGTGTTTCAAAACAAATGCAGAAAACCTTAGATTCGATACCACGTTTATATTAAAATATCTTTCGTTGCACATCATAATACGACCACCAGCAAACTCCATAAGACGACGCATGGTGTCATTGATGACGAGCAACGAAAGTTGTTTTAATTTCCCTAATTACCATCATAATAATGTATATTAATTTTTTATCTTTAAACGAAAAGGGATAGAATATAGGTTATTGCAATTTTATGGAAATTACATACTACTATAAAAACACACTATCTGCGTATTTTTTATCTTTATAAAAAAAATAGTGTTAAAGGGGTTGAAATAAATTATCACTATTATTCTTATTTATTAAATTTAAAGAATTTTCAAGTTAGGTAAATCGGAAAAAACTGGATAGCCTGCTTTATTCAGAAATCTTTAGATTTTCCATTGGAAAGAATTTGAGAAAATAAAAGCCTGATAGCTAACAGGTATTAATTAACTGATTCCCGTTAGAATTCTAATCAAAATAAACAAAAAAAATAGGTATACATTAGTAGTGGGAACTATCGAATGAATACTATCGAAACATTCGATGGTTGCAATTCATTCGAATAATTCGATAGCTAGTAAGAAAACATTCGTTGAAAACTATTCGAATAAAAATTATCGAATAGATGCTTCATCTGCCTTGAAATATTGTATTCTAGTAATTCGGCAGCAAAAACCATTCATTTATAAAATTCATTTATTCGTCAGGATCGATTATAATAAAATATTAACTGGATTTTAGTTGTCGCCCGGCGACGTAGGTTTGTTTCCCAGAAACCCGACAGCGGTCGGTGGCAATGCTATGAAAGAAGGCGGCATCTTTGATTTTTTGCGGAGTAGATAAAGATAAGGACACATTATTTTTTTTATTGAGGTGCTAGTATTTACAGAAAAACTACATTATGAAGGGCGCTGTTGCCATATATTGGTATTAGTTGATATTAGCAAAGAATATTATTGTCTGGCTTTAGTTAGTTGGGGATAGTATGTCTTTTTATTGTTAATCTAAGAGTATGTCTATATATTTTGCATTTTTTTTATTAATATTCTGTTGTTACACTGCAATAATACTTGTTATTTTGGATGTAGGAAAATGATTTTTAATGCTTTTAAGCAAAGACTGGTTCAATAAATAATATTAACAGTAATAATTTGTTATACCTATTAACGACAAAATTTAAAATCATTTAATACAAACATTTTTTTAAGTAGTGGCAAAATATAAGCAACAAATTAAATGTCAAAATTATTTATATTAGATCCTATTTAAAAATAATATATACTCTAAATTTTTTTGGCAACGGTTGTTTTTTAAATAATAATAATTACAGAACTAATTTGTTATATTAACAACAAATTTTAAAATCATGAAATATCAACATTTATTAATTTTCTAAGCATGCAGTGTAATGGAAGGAAAATATAAATAAAAAATTAGAAATCAAAATTATTTATATTAGGTGCTTTATATTACTATTTAAAAATAATATTATTTACTTTTACTGGCATTTACTTTAAAAAATAAATGAAATATTTCTTCGCAAAAAACTACATGTAAGAGAATTAGCATAAACAAAATACAAACATCGTTAACTTTTTTTTAAAATTGGCACGTGTAAAACTTTCAATTTAATTTTCTCACCCCATAGTTTGAGTTCGATAACCATTTATTTAACCACATTACTTAAATATGATTATTAAGTTCAGCTAATTCATATTATTAAAACATTTAAAATACAAATATCTATTTTTAAAATTAATTGTAAGTTCATCTCATCTCTCTTAAAAATTGCTACTTCTCAAAATTTTCCATTAAAAAATAGACCATATATCATATAAAATTAAATAATTGAAAGATCGGGCTACGGAAAATCACAAAATTTTCTGAAAAATGTTGACCACCTGCACACGCACACAATCGTCAATTAAAAAAACTACTATTTTAGTATTTTAAATATTTTAATAAACGCAAAAATAGCACAGTATTTATACGGCGAAGTTGTAAAAATTTGGAAGAACTAATAATGCACTGACGCACACAAAAATCAAACGGATACTAAATTTCATTTATCAAAAGCATTCGATAGTCGTGGCTCAACGATAACCATTCAGTAGCACGGCGAGGTTGTCACGTATGCTTTAGTATACAAATGAAAGAATGATTTTATTCGAATAAAACCATTCGATAGTTGAAATCATTCATTCAGTAACCATTCGATAGTCTAATTCATTCGATAGTTCCCATCACTAGTATACATAGAAGTCATTTTTGAAGAAATGAATCTGCCACAAACTTAGGTATAGACATTATTTAAAGTATTTTTTGGCACTGGAAGAAAAATCTCCAAAATAGTTTTATTTTGTAAATACCAATGTGTTGAATTCAAACAGAAACCAGCTTATCAGTGATTTTTTACTAGTAGAAAAAATCTGCCCAACCGACAAAATATGATTAACGCTTCAGAAGGTTTAGTTTGGATTGGTGTCTTCTCCCATCATCGTCAGAAGCGAAAAGACAAAAAGGGAAAACAGAAAAACTATTTAAAATACCTAAGTATAACAAAATGAGATTACCTAAAATCAAGACTTCGTGTAATGTCAAGATATTAATAACATCACAAATACGGACAATTTTAATGCTGTCCCAATATAAATGTATGTGTGTATAAAAAATATTTCAATAAATTCAACTAAGCTTACGAAAACTAGCTTAGTTTTCATCGTTATCTTTACCTGAATGGAATAGGGGAATAAACCATTGCTTACCCTCCCATTGATCTCCCTAACTTGCATCTTGAGCTTGGCCAGCACGTCGTTGTGATCGGCGAGCATGCCCCCGTGACGTCGCATCTCGTCACAACTGTCGGGGTCATCATTGTCACCCCCCGAGTGGGGCTCCCCATCGCTCATTTCCTCATCGTTGTGCGACTGAAACAAAAAATAGAGAATCAATTAAAAGAGTTCACTCGGTATATAGAATGATTTACGTGTTTTATAATATTAGTAAGTCAAAATTGAATATTAAATATAGTATTGTCAAGTCTTTGCCTTGCAGTTTAATAGTACTCTTGTCTTTGTCTTGTAGATTGTAAAAATATTATGGTTAAAATCAATATGGATATATGCAAAAATATATAATATCTTTGGATATATGGTATACATGATACAAAGATCGAAGGAAAGAATATTTAATACTTTAATTAAGAAAACAGTCACGAAAAATATACACATCCAATCAGTGAATTTAAAAGGTTTTAAATATCCACGCCAAGGCGTAAATTATACAGTCATACAATTTACTTGGATCCTTATATCTTGTCTCGATTACGTTCTGTAACACGATCAAATAAAGGAAGTCTTATCAGGCGGTTTAATATGAAGAAATGCCACACTCCCTTTTTTAATCAATGAATGAGCTATCGTATTTCGAAGAAAGGCGATGCGGACTGTAATGTGCCGGGTATAAATGAATTCCTTTCATGAAGCTCTTAGTTTTTGTATTGAAGAAAACTAGAGTCACCCTACAGTGTTCCTAAGATAAGTATTCCACCACCGGACATATAAATATACGTATAATGTTTAAATACCTGGGATCCCGACTTGGAAGTTAGATCGAGCGTAGAACAGGTCAGATGAATGTTAAATACAATGATAAATGTATGTTATGTAACTGCTCATTCAACATCAACTTACGTCTATATGCAGTATACACTATTCGGAGAATTGAACGAAACAGCTGTTCGTCGCTTAATTATCGTGTTTCGGCTTATCTTAATTGTCTTGGCCTATTTCGGTTTGCCTCGGCCAACTTTCGTTTCTTAAAAGCGCCTCAAAACTACTCGTAACATTGCGGAGAAGGACGAGGGGAGATTTTTTGGGTGTTTCCTGTTATCTCGTTCAATTTCGTTTCGTTTCGAACTGTTACCAAAACTTGGCAGTATCTATGCCCGAGACAAAGAACTTTTTTTCACAAATCTCAGTGAAATATTTAACATAGACTTCTCTAAAATATCTCTTTTTACGATGATATTTCGTTAATTATATTTCGTTTTATGTTGATATATTCAACAAGATTAATATTTGAACACGCGTTTAATAATATGTAAAGTAGATATTTAAGAACAAAACTATTTATGTTATCTACAAGAATAAAATTAGAATATTTTTCGTATTTAATTTGATTATAATGAATTAGTATATAAAATTGTAGATGTTATTATGCAATTTTATATAGGTACTTGTTATAGTTAATCACAGCGTGTGTTTATTTCGATCTATTTCGGAGTTTGCAGCCGAGATTCCCCGCAACATAAGAACAGCATTGAATTTACAAGCATGTTGCAATGTTACAAGCGAAATGTTTCGCGAAATATTTCCAGAAATAGTTTGTGAAACATTTCGGGTAGATTGTAGACGGTGTTTATGTTTTGTTCACTGTTAATGTATTATATACCCAATTCTCTTGACGCTTGAAGTGAACACCTTGAGATGGTCAGATGTTTTTGAAATGTGGATCTATAGAAGACTATTAAAAATACCTACGTACGTATTAAAAATAATACGTACGCAATGAAGAGATTCTTGGAAAACTTAACAAAGAAAGTGAATCATTTTCTTGGTTAATATAAAAAAAAATAATATAAAAAAACAAAAGACTGCATACCTGCATGGGCTACATCATGCGAAATGGTAGAGCAAAGCTCCTGAAATGTATTGAAGGGAATAAGATGACTTACGGGAATAAGAAGAAGGCAGAGAATGACTTGGAAGACGCAATTATTCTTGGTTGAAAAACATAAGAGATTGGAGTGGTTTAGACTCACACAACTTGGAGTAATCATTACTTGATGAACATTAATTTCAAAACTTACACAAAACTATAATACAGAGCTACAGAATGTGTAGCGGAATTAACAGAAGTAATATTGCTTTTAGAAGATAAAAGTATAGAGCATCTAGATGTGTAATAGGTTCCAATGGTTTTCAAATATTTTCTTCGTTATCCTGAACATCTTTTTTGTCAAAATACTTATTTGAATGTGGTAGACAATGATTCAGTTTTGATGCTAAAAGAATTTTGAATTTTAATTGTTTTTTTTATTTTTTACTTACATAAAATTTCTAAGTTGGTCTTGCTTTTTGGTGCAAGACCAAAAGACCAAATTAAAATAAGTAAAGACATTGGGAGCCATGTCATATATTCATATATGACATGACATGTCATATATGTTTTTTCATACTGTATGCACTCTGAAAAAACGACGTCAAGTTGCCCTGGTAGTCACGACTAATAGCATTCGCCATAGAATTTTACATATATAGAATATATAGAATGACTGCATTTTCCAAACAAGTCTGACGCCGATTTTTTTTCGATCATATGGTACTTAGCACTTGTATTTAATGAAACGATTAGTCAACAGATATCTATTTAGGAACTAGGTAAAGGGGAGTGGGGGAATAAGTCAAACCATTGTTTGTCATTAACAAGAAAATGGAAGATCATGAAATTATTCATAAAATATTTATAATTTCAAGGATTCATGATTAGGTACTTTAAATTTTCCAACTTTCAAAAAATAATCCATTAAATATGTCACAATAAACATAATATTACAATAAAATATACCCGGGCAGTAAATCTGTCTCATTTCGTACAAGGCTGGAGTCATTTTTAAATCTACATAGATTTATAATAACTATTGTTGTAACACGAAAATAAAATTTAATACCAATATATTATATCTGTCAGCAGTATGAATAATACAAAAGTATTTCAGGTTTTCATAGTGTATACAGGGTGTAAAGGAATAGTGAACCAAACTTCATTGCTGGATAAAAATCCGGCAATAATGCGTCGGGCATCTGTAGCTCCTAGAATAAAAAACTTGGGATTTTGTTTAAGCGCAAACCTAAAGTAGGTATATACCAGGATGTATTTCAGGAAAATATTTTAACTTCTATTGAGTGGCTCAAAAAAGTGTGAGTGGATCGGGATGATTTTTTTTTAAATGGAACACCCTGTATATTATTGCATTTTTGGCTTCCTTTCAGATCACTTTACATGATACTAAGATATGAGTATGTTTCTATAGTTTCAGAGATATTAATAAATAAATCAAAAAAATATATATTTTTTAGCCTTTCTTAAAAAAAATATTAAAAATACAATAACTGTTCTGAAATTAAAACTATATTAGGTATTTACTTTAGATGGTCTGTACTTACTTTGCTATAAATATGGTAATCGTAAATCGTACAGGATGTTCAAAATTCTACGCCAGACTTTCTAAAATATAAAATAATTTTTCTTTATTTTTTTTTAATGGAACACACTGTATATTATTTTCTTATTAGATAAAGAGTTAAAAAAATATTTGTTTTTGTTTTTAGAGTATTTCAAAATTTTTAATGGTTTCGCAGATACACGCAGTATTATTTGATATGGCTCTTTCAACGGTAAAATACGAGAGAAAAATCATTGGGTACCTTTGATAAAAATTTACTGTGGAATATGCCATATGAAATATAAAACCGCGAATATCTGCAAAACCGTAAACCGTCGAAACCTCAAGAATAATCGATCTTGTTCGACGCGACATTTAATTTCGTTGTCTGATGTCCAATCTTCGGATAGCCAGATGCCCAAGTATTTAAATTTATCTACCTTTCTATAGGCCTTGAGTTAAATGTTAAGATGGAGTTTATAAAAACATCTGGGTTTCTGGATATTATCATATAAATTTGGTTTTCTTGATGTTGATGTTTAAACCCATTGCTTTGCTCTGTTCTCCTACCTTGTTGACCAGTTGTTGTAGATCGTGTATATTGTCTGCAATTAAGACCGTATCGTCGGCATAGCGGATATTATTAATACACACTCCATTAACTTTGACTCCCATTTCCACGTCCTCCAGAACCTCTTGGAAAATAGCTTCTGAGTATAAATTAAATAGGAGTGGAGATAGCACGCAACCCTGTCGCACCCCCCTTCTAACTTGTATGGGATTGGACATGGTATCGGACAATTTTATTTGTGCTGTTTGGTTCCAGTATAACTTCTCAATGCATTGGATGTAAATCAGCTGATCTGTTTAGCTGGTGAATTTAAGGTTATCCAATTCTGAATTTTCCAAGTCGTTTTTAAATCTTTTTAGTCGATGTGACAACACTGGGCGTCTAACAAGCTAAGATCCGGGTAATTGCTTGGTATTTAGAGCTGATTATCGATTGCTGCCGGCGGCTCTTAAAATGTTGCCATTATTTTTTTTTAATTTCAAAGTTAAATAACTCGGTTATTATTAATTTATTTTAGAAATGGTAAAGAGAAAATAATGTTTCTTTTGGCCAGATCTACCACCTCTTAAAATGCACACACTCTGGGACACCCTGTATAGCAGCAGAAAAATGTTAAAACCTATATTTAAAAAGCGAGAAACAGACCCTGAAACCCTTTTTAATTAAGTTCTGTTTGACTTTACTCAGTCAATAATTATTAATTCCTCGGATCCCGACCTGTTGTCATGACCTACTTGGGCAAATATGTATTTAGGACCTGACGCTTTCCGAACAAATGCCTGTATCGTACTCAGATTGGTTCAAGATGCATTCTCGGTGGTTAAAAATTGTTCAGTTGGTTAGAAATCTGTTCTAGTAGTGCGTGTATTATTCTACTGGGTTGTCCAAATATTCAATGGGTAATTATGTTCCAAATTTTAATTTTTTAATAATTTTTTTGATTCAAATATCAATTTTTTTGCCCTGAAGAACTACAAGCATAAATTAGTGAACTAAATACAGCCAGAAATAAAGTAGGTTTTAAAATAAATTTAGAAAAGGTTAAAGTAATGTACAACGAACTAGTAGACAGATTTTTTTTTAGATATATAAAACAACACTGGCAATAGTAGAAGAATATATATATTTGG